AGTCTGTAACTGTTTCCATTGTTTCCCCACCTATTTGCCAGGAAGTGATGGTATCAGATGCCATGATCTTAGTATTCTGAATGTTGAGTTTTAAGTCAACTTTTTCACTATCCCTCTTTCACTTTCATCAAGAGGCTCTTTAGCTCTTCTTCACTTTCTGCCATAAGGGTGGTGTCATCTGCACATCTGAGGTTATTGATATTCTTCCCGGCAATCTTGATTCCAGCTTGTGGTTCACCTAGCCCAGCATGTCCCACAGTGCACTCTGCATGTAAGTTAAATAAGCAGCATGACAATATACAGCCCTGATGTACTCCTTTCTAGATTTGGAACCAGTCTGCTGTTCCATGTCCAGTTCTAACTGTTGCTTCTGACCTGCCTACAGATTTCTCAGGAGGCAGGTAAGGCAGTCTGGTATTTCCATCTCTTTAAGAATTTTCCACAGTTTGTTGTGATCCACACAGTCAAATGCTTTGGCATAGTCCATAAAGCAGAAGTAGATGTTTTTCTGGAACTCTCTTGCTTTTTTGATGATCCAATTTGGCAATTTGATCTCTGGTTCCTCTGCCTTTTCTAGATCCAGCTTGAGCATTTGGAAGTTCTTGGTTCATGTATTACTGAAGCCTTACTTTGAGCATTACTTTTACTAGCATGTGAGATGAGTTCAATTGTGAGGTAGTTTGAACATTCTTTAGCATTGCCTTTTTGGGGGACTGGAATGAAAACTGATCTTTTCCAGTCCTGTGGCCACTGCTGAGTTGCCCAAATTTGCTGACATATTGAGCACTTTGACAGCATCATCTTTTAGGATTTGAAATAGCTCAACTGGAATTCCATCATCTCTACTAATTTTGTTTACAGTGATGCTCCCTAAAGCCCACTTGACTTTGCATTCCAGGATGTCTGGCTGTAAGTGAGTGATCACACCATCGTGGTTATCTGGGTCATGAAGATCTTTTTTGTATAGTTGTTCTGTGTATTCTTGCCACCTCTTCTTAATATCTTCTGCTTCTGTTAGGTCCATACCATTTCGTCCTTTATTGTGCCCATCTTTGCATGAAATGTTCCCTTGGTATCTCTTATTTTCTTGAAGAGATCTCTAGTCTTTCCCATTCTGTTGTTTTCCTCTATTTCTTTGTACTGATCACTGAGGAAGGCTCAGACTATGAACTCCTTATTGCCAAATGCAGACTTAAATTGAAGAAAGTAGGGAAAACCACTAGATCATTCAGGTATGACCTAAATAAAATCCCTTATGATTATACAGTGGAAGTGAGAAACACATTCAAGGGATTAGATCTGATAGAGTGCCTTTAGAATGATAGACAGAGGTTTGTGACATTGTACAGAAGACAGTGATCAAGAACATCCCTAAGAGAAAGAAATGCAAAAAGGTGAAATGGTTGTCTGAGGAGGCCTTACACATAGCTGAGAAAAGAAGAGAAACTAAAGGTAAAGGAGAAAAGGAGAAAAGGAAAGATACACCTATTTGAATGTAGAGTTTCAAAGAATAGCAAGGAGAGATAAGAATGCCTTCCGCAGTGATCAATGCATAGAAATAGAGGAAAACAATAGAAGGGATGTCCTTTAGGATAGGTTTAATATTGCTGTATTCTTTTAGTTTTTGCTTGTCTAAGAAATTCATCTCATATTCTAAATAAAAATCTTGCTGAGTAGAACATCCTAGATTGCAGCTTTTTCCCTTTCAGGACTTTTGAATGTATCTTGCCACTCCCTTCTGGTCTGCAGTGTTTCTGTATAGAAATCAGTGGGTAGCCTTATGGGGGTTCCCTTGTAATCAATATTTTCTCTGTTTTTTTTTCTTGCTGCCTTTAGAATCCTCTGTTTTACTTTTGCTATGTTTATCATAATATGTCTTGGTGTGTTTGGATTTACCTCGTTTGGGACTCTGCTTTCTATACCTGGATGTTTCTTTAGGTTTGGGAAGTTTGAGCATTCCAAATACATTTTCAATGTACCCTTTTTTCTTTCTTCCCCTTCTGGAATCCGTATATGCATAGATTGGCAAGGGAAGAAGGAAGACTCCAGTGTTCATGGGCTTCCCTGGTGGTTCAGCTGGTAAGGAATCCGCCTGCAGTGCGGGAGACCTGGGTTTGATCCCTGAGTTGGGAAGATCCCCTGGAGAAGGGTAAGGCTACCCACTCCAGTATTCTGGCCTGGAGAATTCTATGGACTATATATGGGGTTGCGAAGAGTCGGACATGACTGAGCGACTTTCACTTGGCAAGATTTGTATTATCCCATAGGTCTATTATATTGCTTTCACTTTTTTTTTTTTTCAATTTGACTTTCTCTCTGCTGTCCGGATTGGTTGATTTCCATTATTCTTTCTTTCAGGTCACTTACTCATTTTTCTGCATTATTCCTCCTGCTATTCATTGCCTTTAGTTTAGTGTTCATCTTGGCAAATGAATTGTCTACTACTTCTTTGTTCTTCCTTATAGTTTCTAATTTCTTTTTACAGTACTCTGCATTTCTGTCAACAGCCTGTCTTAATTCCTTTAGTATTTTCATTATCTTTTTTTTGAACTAGATGTCTATTAGACTGAAGAGGTCTGTTTCAATGTTCTTTCAGGGGAATTCTCTTGGTTTAAATAGAAATTGTTCCTCTGCTTCTTCATTTTAATTATTTCTCTTATTCTGTGAGTTTAGGAGAAATAATGATCTGTGGTCTTAGAGGACTATTTATATGTGGCATTGTTCCTGTGTAGTTTGTGTGGGTTTAATATTTTTAGTGGGCTTTCCTGGTACAGTTTAGTTTAGTTGCTCAGTTGTGTCTGACTGTTTGCGACACCATGGACTGCTGTGTACACCAGGCCTTCCTGTCCATCGCCAACTCCCGGAGTCCACCCAAACCCATCTCCACAGAGTCAGTGATGCCATCCAACCATCTCATCCTCTGTCGTTCCCTTCTTCTCCCGCCTTCAATCTTTCCCAGCAGCAGGGTGTCTTCAAATGAGTGAGCTCTTTGTATCAGGTGGCCAGAGTATTGGAGTTTCAGCTTCAACATCAGTTCTTCCAATGAACACTCAGGACTGATCTCCTTTAGGATGGACTGGTTGGATCTCTTTGCAGTCCAAGGGACTCTTAAGAGTCTTCTCCAATACCACAGTTCAAAAGCATCAATTCTTGGACGCTCAGCTTTCTTTATAGTCCAAATCTCACATCCATACATGACTCCTGGAAAAACCATAGCCTTGACTAGACAGACCTTTGTTGGCAAAGTAATGTCTCTGCTTTTTAATATGCTGTCTAGGTTGGTCATAACTTTTCTTCCTAGGAGCAAGCGTCTTATAATTTCATGGCTGCAGTCACCATCTGCAGTGATTTTGGAGCCCAGGAAAATAAAGTCTCTCACTGTTTCCCCATCGATTTGCCATGAAGTGATGGGGCTGGATGCCATGATCTTAGTTTTCTGAATGTTGAGTTTTAAGTCAACATTTTCACTCTCCTCTTTCACTTTCATCAAGAGGCTCTTTACTTCCTCTTTGCTTACTGCCATAAGGGTGGTGTCATCTGCATATCTGAGGTTATTGATATTTCTCCTGGGAATCTTGATTCTAGCTTGTGGTTCATACAGCCCAGCATTTCTCATGATGTATTCTGCATATAAGTTAAATAAGCAGGGTGACAATATACAGCCTTGACGTACTCCTTTTCCTATTTGGAACCAGGCTGTTGTTCCATGTCCAGTTCTAAGTGTTGCTTCTTGACCTGCATGCAGATTTCTCAAGAGGCAGGTCAGGTGGTCTGGTATTCCCATCTCTTTCAGAATTTTCCAGTTTATTGTGATCCACACAGTCAAAGGCTTCCCTGGTATCTCAGTGGTAAAGAATATGTCTGCCAATGCAGGAGATATGGGTTTGATCCCTGGGTTGGGAAGATCCCCTGGAGAAGGAAATGGCAATTCACTCTAGTAGTTTGTTTTTATTATGGGTGCCTGTCACTTTTTTTCTCAGTATCTGTTGGCCTTATTCCCTTGATAAGGAGATTGTGCAGGTGTGATAGCTGGTGCCTAATCCTGGGGTAATCTGTGGTGTGCTCATGTGTGCTCCTGAGCATGTGATGGGAGCAGAGGTGGCTCACAGTCACTCCTTGAGTCTACAAGGAAGATGGTGTCAGCTCATGACCACTCCTGAAGTGTAAGGGGGAGAGTTGTGGCTTGTGACAGCTCTTGGAGCTGCTGGGGGGTGGGTTACCTGAGAGCAAATGCAGGGATAAAGGCTGCAAGGTCCTACCTCAACCCTCACCCGAAAATAGTGCCTGGCCTCTAAGATGGTCCAGGCTTCCACCATGTACATCCTCAGGTGTGGTTACACCAAACTCCAGCCCCTTTAGGCTGTTTTTACACAACCAACCCAGGTCCTTTCCCTGGGTCTAACATCTGAAGCCTGAGCTTCAGCACCCAGCCTGCACCGGTGGACATGGGTCTCTGGCTGGGGAGTGCAGGGGAGTGGCATTGACCATCTGTTCAGGTTTGTCTAATGCTAGCTGCCACAAACCAGTTTCTGTGTTCTTCTCTAAAGCTCTGAAGCTCCCCCTCTGTCCTGGCTGATCTCCCCACCAGTGAAGCAACTTCCTGGGATGGAGTCCCGTTCTGATTTCTTTCTTTTTTCTTTTGTCCTATCTGATTACATGGAGATTTTCTTGCCCTTTCAGAGTTCGGATGTCTTCTACCAGTGTTCAGTAGATATTCTCTGAGGATCAGTCCATATGTATATGTATTTTTGATAAATTTGTGGGAGGAGGTGAGCTTCATGTTCTACTACTTTGTCATCTTGATTCAGAAGTTAAGAACTTTTAAATACATAAGACATTCTCATAATTTTAAGGGATGTATTATTTAAAACTTTTTTCAGAAGGAATACAAAAAAATTAAATGTGATACATATAGCTTGCAAAAGGTTTCAACATAAGGCTCTGTTCTTAAGGTAACATTTAATTAGTGTCATGTACAACTTAGATATTTTATTAATTACCTTGAGGAGATCTGGATCAATTCCTTTAATCTTTGGAACTGGAACTGGGGGTAGAATCAACATCTTAATCCTTGAAAACAAAATTTGTTTTAATGTAAGTTACTCATTCTCATTCAAAAGACAAATAAAATATTGACAATACTATTACTAATGTAAAGTAACAGAATATTTGGAATAAGTGAATCTGAGGAAGAGAAGGAAAAGCATTAAGCAGTGAGTGATGAGGCAAAACTAAAGAACAGAAAAAAAAAAACCCCAAAAAATCCTCATCTGAAGTGAATTTAAATGTGGTTTTCCTATAACTTTTCCTTAATGTCTTATGACAGTTTCAGAATTGGGAGTTAGACATTTAAGTCCATCTGAAGCCAATTTCCATGTCAGTTACAAGGAGGTAATTTTAATACATATCCATAATTTGTTGGGGAAGGGGGAGGAGAAAGAGCCAATCCATGTAAAGGTATGCACCCTAAAAAAAGAGTGGGCTGGGATTAAGTTCATACCACAGTGCTCACATGAATTATAAAATTATCTAAGACAATTTCATTAACCAGGATGTCATTGCATGGTTCATTTCAGTTGGGACAGACTAAATTTGAACTATTTCTAATCAGCACAGGTTTATATACACAGTTCTATAATGCACTTAAATTTTCTGTCCCAAATATTTACATTACTTTTTGACTATAATTTATTTCAATGTCTTTCCTGCCTATCTTGTGCCTCATTGTATTCTCAGCACCTAGAAAATTCCTGGCACAGAGAAACATTGCCTGAATAAATCTGAGTAAATCATTTGTCTATTTCATTAATAGTGTAAATAGTTTCCATTTTAAAATCAACATTGTGGCTCTGGAATAGATATTATCCATTCCAATCTGATTTTTGGACATCAGATGATATTCTACTCAGTGTGAATAAAATAGTCTGGTCTACTCAATTAGGGAGGGCTTCTTGGGTAGTTCAGCTGTTAAAAGAATCTGCCAGCAATGAAGGAGAGCCTGGTTTGATCCCTGCGTTGGGAAGATCCCCTGGAGGAGAGCATGGCAACCCCCTCCAGTATTCTTGCGTGAAGAATCCCCATGGACAGAGGAGCCTGGTGGGCTACAGCCCATGAGGTTGAAAAGAGTCACACAGGACTGAGCAGCTATGCACAGCACTCAATAGGGAACCCACTCTCTGAATGTTTCCATCACTTTTTAATCTAATCCAAGGCAAATTTCATTTTGTAAGTTGAGTTTGAGTAGACTCACTAGTTTTACTTAGTGGGACAAATGTTAAATTGTTACTGATGAATAGAAATAATAGGGAAAAATGCATGCTATTAATAACTGCTACCACTTTTGAATGCCTCTAATTCAAAAGTAGTAGCCTTTTGAATGCCTCCAAACACTGAAACTCTGCATTGGCAAATTTCAATCTGTGGGCCAAATCTGTTCTGCCCTCTGTTTTTGTAAAGAAAGCTTTTTTTTAGAACATGGAGTCAAGTTCATTTTACATATTATCTATGTAACATAGATTACATGTTATCTATGGCTACTTTCATGCCACAGTGGCAGAACTGAGTAGTAGTGACAGAGACTGCGTAGCCCAGAAAGCCGAAGATTTACTGTTTGGTTATTTTTAAAACAACTTTGCCAAAACTTGCGCTAAACATTTCCTTTGGTGCTTACCACTACCAGGGAGGAAGAAGATATTATCTGTGGGAAGATTTAGAGATTTAAGGAACATATTCAAATCACACACTAATACTTGGTTCAGCTGACACTCAAATTCAAAGCAGCTGACTCCAAAACCCATGCCCTTTGCTTTCTGTCATGCTGCTGTGTTAACTTGGTTCTGCATTTCTAAATAAATAATTCACAGGTTCTGTTGTTGTTGTTTAGTTGCTAACTCATGTCTGACTCTTGCAATCCCATGGACTGCAGCACACCAGCAGGCTCTTCTGTTCTCCATTAACTTCTGGAGTTTGCTTAAACTCGTGTCCATTGAGTTGGTGTTGCTATCTAACCATCTCATTCTCGACTGCCCCCTTCTCCTTTTGCCTTCAATCTTTCCCAACATCAGGGTCTTTTCCAATGAGTCAGTTCTTCGAATCAGGTGGCCAAAGTATTGGAGCTTCAGCTTGAGCATCAGTCCTTCCAATGAATTATTCAGGACTGATTTCCTTTAGGACTGACTGGTTTGATCTCCTTGCAGTGCAAGGGACTCTCCCAGCGTCACAGTTGAAAAGAATCAGTTCTTCAGCACTCAGCTTTCTTTATGGTCCAACTCTCACATCTGTATGTGACTACTGGACAAACCATAGCTTTTTTTGACTATACGGACCTTTGTTGGCAAAGCGTCATCTCTGCTTTTTAATATGCTGTCTAGGTGTGTGATAGCTTTCCTTCTATGGAGCAGCATCTTTTAATTTCATGGCTGCAGTCACTGTCAGCAGTGATTTTGGAGCCCAAGAAAATAAAATCTGTCACTACTTCCACTTTTCCCCCTTCTATTTGCCATAAAGTGATGGGACTGGATGCCATAATCTTCGTTTTTTTGAATGTTGTTTTAAGCCAGCTTTTTCACTCTCTTCACCCTCATCAAGCGACTCTTTAGTTCCTCTTTGCTTTCTGCCATTAGAGTGGTGTCATCTGCATATCTGAGGTTATTGATATTTCTCCCGGCAGTCTTGCTTCCAATTTGTGATTTGTCCAGCCCAGCAGTTAGCATGATATACTCTGCAAATAAGTTTAATAACCAGGGTGATAATATATAGCCTTGATGTACTCCTTTCACAATTTTGAACCAGTCTGTTCTGTGTCCGCTTCTAACTATTGCCTACAAGTTTCTCATGAGACAGGTAAAGTGGTCTGGTATTTCCATCTCTTTAGGAATTTTCTACAGTTTGTTGTGATCCACACAATCAAAGGCTTTAGCATAGTCAATGAAGCAGAAGTAAATGTTTTTCTGGAATTCCCTTGCTTTCCGCATGATCCAGCGGATGTTGGCAATTTGATCTCTGGTTCCTCTGCCTTTTCTAAATTTAGCTGGTACATCTGGAAGTTCTTGGTTCACATATTGTTGAAGCCTAGCTTGAAGGATTTTGAGTATTACCTTGCTAGCATGTGAAATGAGCACAATTGTACAGTAGCTTGAATACTCTTTGGCATTGCCCTTCTTTGGGACTGGAATGAAAACTGACCTTTTCTAGTCCTGTGGCCACTGCTGAGTTTTCCAAATTTGGTGACATATTGAGTGCAGAACTTTTGCAGCATCATTTTTCATGATTTGAAATAGCTTAGTTGGAATTCCATCATGTTCACCAGCTTTGTTCGTAGTAATGCTTCCTAATGCCCACTTGACTTTATACTCCAGGATGTCTGGCTCTAGGTAGTGACTACACCATCCTGGTTATCTGGGTCATTAAGACCTTTTTGTATAGTTCTTTTGTGTATTCATGCCACCTCTTTTTAATCTCTTCTGCTTTGGTTAGGTCCTTACCATTTCTGTCCTTTATCCTGCCTATCCTTGCATGAAATGTTCCTTTGATATCTCCAATTTTATTGAAGAGATCTCTAGTCTTTCCCATTCTAGTGTTTTTCTTTATTTCTTTGTTCATTTCTTTATTTCATTGTTCATTTAAGAAGGGCTTCTTATCTCACCTTGCTATTCTCTGGAACTCTGCATTCAGTTGGGTATATCTTACCCTTTCTCCCATGCCTTTCGCTTCTCTCCTTTTCTCACCTATTTGTAAAGGCACCCTCTGCCCTGCCCCAGACAACCACTTTGCCTCCTTGCATTTTCTTCTTTGGGATGGTTTTGGTCACTGCCTCCTGTACAATGTTATGAACCTCCATAGTTCTTTAGGTATTTTGTGTATCAGATCTAATCCCTTGAATCTATTCATCACCTCTACTGATTTGATTTAGGTCATGCCTGAATAGCCTAGTGGTTTCCCCTACTTTCTTCAATTTAAGCCTGAATTTTGCAATAAAGAGCTGATGATCTGAGCCATAGTCAGCTCCAGGTCTTCTTTTTGCTGACTGTATAGAGCTTCACAGGATCAAAACCAAAAATGTAACATAACTCTAATTAGAGGAAAGCAAAGATCCCCAAACATACTTTACTCTGTGTAAGTCCCTCTTTTCTTTTGTTTTTTTTTTAAAGAGGATGACACATTTAGGTACTTGAGAGTCAGGGAAGTGTTGTTGCCTTTAGGCTAGGGTGGCACAGCCTGGAGCCTGGAGCAACCAAGCCAGTCATAGGGAGGATGGGAATTGTGACAGAGAGCATGTGCCCTGTTCGAATGGGATGGTTGGTCCTCTGTCTCGGGACATATTGCCATGCAGGATTATCAACCCAGCTTCACTATTTTTTTTAATTTTTAATATGGCAATGACTAAATTTTAAAAATTTATTTTGGGTGTTCTGGTCTCTGTTGCTGCACAGGCTTTTCTGTTGTGGGGAGTGGGGTCCACTCTCAGTTGTGGTGCGCGGGCTTCTCACTGCAGAGCATGGGGTCTCAGTGGTTGCTGTTCCTGAGCTCCAGGGCACAGGCTCAATAGTTGTGCACAGGATTGATGAGTTGCTGCATAGCATGTTGGGTCTTCCCAGACCAGGGATGGAACACATGTCTCCTGCACTGGCAGGCAGATTCTTAACCACTGTACCTACCACCAGGGAAGTCTGAGATCTCTGTTTTTAAAGATAATCTAGTAATCTTGATTTTTGTGTGAAAACTCCCTGTTTTAGAAACACTTTGTAGCAAAACCATTCCTCAAAAATCAGAAGGAAAAAAAAAAACATCAAAACATGGATCTGCAGGCTGAATCTGGCTTTCAGGTTGCCACTTCTGTTTTATGTTGATTCAGTTATTTCATTCCTGATTTAGTCATATGCTTGATGGCTAGAGTAAGTTGTATGGTGGGAGCAACAGAGTATAGAATAAAGATAAACTGTCATGAAACTATGTTTCTTATCTTTATTGTTTAATTCAAGTCCAAATTACACTATACATTTTACTAGAGTTGATTCTTAATGATTTGGATTTGGATGAAGAAAGGGAGCAGTGGCTTGGTTTGTGAACTAACAAAATCTCAAGCAAACACAGAGCACCTGAAATCCTTTAGAGCCCTGAAATTCTGCGGTAACTGACATAGTATCTCATTCTTTGAGTTTTATTTTAATTGTTCTTTCTACACTTGCTGACAGCTATTTTCTACCATTTCCTACTTTCATTAGAACATGGACATTTAGACAATGATAAGGGTTTTTGTGGGCATATGAAAAAGGAAGATAAGTTTAAAACGTAATTATTCATAGAAAACAATGTTTTAGACAAAAGTTAATATATTTCCTTTGAAATTCTATTTGATCAGCGGATTACTTTTTCTTCCAAATATTGTTAGCTAATGTAATCCAGCAACATAAATTTGCTTGGCCTTCGTTATGATTTGAAATTGACAACTAATGTTAAAAGTAAGTTACTTTATGTATGTAGTGAGTTTATCTACCGTAATTCTATATAAATTAGCCTATCACCTAACTGGACAGTTCAGTGAATTCAAATTAATCTACAGAATAATTTGGCTCCTTTGGCATTACTTAAATGTATCCATTATTTAAGTAAATAATTGTTTAGAATTTTATTTACTAATTTCCCCCCTCCCCAAATTGAAAGCTGTTGTACTACTTTATAATACTTGTATTTCTAAGACAATAATGTTGCTAGAAAGATAGAAAATAAAATTCTCCAGGGTGAATTTTGTCCCCCTGAGTTTACATTATTAAATTGGAGATGAAACTTTACTAAAAATAATCCTTCCTGCATTCACTTGGAGACTTTTAAGCATGCTTTGACACTCTGGAACCCTAGAATTCTTCTCTCTATTGAAATTCTGTTTTGATATTTACAAATGCTATACAGCTTCAAAATAAAAAGGAAAAAAATTTTACAATATATTTATAATATAGAGTCTATTTGAGTTCTAGATGCCTCATGGCTTCACCTGGAGAACTTGTCTTTGGTTTTAGATAGAGTAGCCAACTGTCTCAGTTTGCCTAGACACAGAATTTTTAGTGTTAAAACCAGGAAAGTCCCAGGCAAACAGAGTGTTAGCTACCCTAATTCTAGGAGAAGGGACAAGATTAACCCATGGGACTTACGCATATTCTAAATGTAAGAAAACTGGCAAACTATACCAGTAAGTTTTCCAATATTTTGTATTAAAAGTTCCTATAGTCTATTAATAATTAGTCCTTACAGCTTAAGGGAAATTTAAACATCATATAATCCAACACTCTAATATTACCCATGAGAGCATGGAGTCCTAGAGAGATAAAGGGACTCAAATGAGCACAAACAACAGTGGCAGAATAATAACTGGAACCTGCCTTCTGGCTGCAAGAGGATGCAGAATGGTATCCTCAAACTTAGAATTTTATCTCTGACAAAAGAAGGTAAAATACCAAACTATAAGTATCCAAGCAATTTAAATAAACCCAAATCTACTTAAGATTGGTATCATATGAAATCTAAAGAAAGGTTTTTATTAGATTGATTTATCTAGTAGCTTTAGTTCACCACTTAAATTTTTGCTCTTGTATTAGGACAGTGTCAAACTTGGCCAAAGTCTCAAAGCTACCTCAGGGTCCTGGAATAAATATCAGTTCAGAACTTTAAGGTTCATGTCACAAGGAATGTAATCACTAGCCTCACCCTCTTAACATCCTATGCAACTTTCCGGATAAAACTGAGGCCTGTGTTGTCTGTATGTGGACACAACAAAGATGTATAGCGAGAGAGAACATTTCATTGGGTTGATGAAATACTCCACTCATGATTCACAAAAGAAAACATAAATAGAAACATGGACATTTGCTAAATAACTGGCAAAACATATCAGAGTAGGTTATATCACACTTACCTTTGCTGTTTAGAAAATATGAGTAAAAATAATGTCACTGATAGCCCAAGTATTCCAAAGATAATAATTAAGAACCATGGAAACTGGAAATCTGAAAAACACAAAAATAATATCTCAGAACTATGAATAATTGAAGTTTACATATCATTCTCCTGTTTCACATAAAACTTCCTAATTTGTATTCATCTAGTAAAGTCAATGATTTCACTTGATAACCACTGAAATAGAACGCAATGACTTAGTATTTTCTAAGAACACTTCTATCCACTTCTTCAGATCCTTTCATATACCAAAAAAAGAAAAAGTAACAGCATACAATTTAAGCACAATCCATGTTTATTATATAAAAAACCTGCTTTGAACATTTTATGTATTCAGGTGTGTCATTAAAAGGCTTTAGCTCAAGGGAAAAGTGATGCTTGTTAATATACTACTTTACCTAAATAATGTCCACTTTTTTTTAAAAAATGTGATCTTTAGATCTAGATCTGATCTAGACTGTGGATCTATCAATAAGATGGGGGCCAAGTTGTATTTTTGAATCATTATTAAAACTTCTTAGATATGCAGGGTGTATATTTTTATAGCTTAAAAAGTATTGTTTGACAGAAGAAGATCAGTACTAGGACTCTCAGATTTTAGCAACTGAACAGCATACTAAGTCATGTCTGACTCTGCAACCCCATGAACTGCAGCACGCCAGGCTTCCCTATCCTTCACTCTCTGCCAGAGTTTGCTCAAACTCGTGTTCATTGAGTCATGCCCATTGATTCAGATTTTAATATAATTGATAGAAAATTTGTGGGAGACTGTAAAACTTCTATTTCATTTCTTTAGAACAAGTGCCACAGTGGCAGAGGTTAACTACTTTTAAGGTAGAATTTTCCTTGGTGGCTCAGACTGTAAAGGATCTGCCTGCAAGGCGGGGAAAGATCCCCTGGAGAAGGGAATGGCTACCCACTCCAGTATTCTTGCCTGGAGAATCCCATTGACAAAGGGCTTTGTGGGCTACAGTCCATGAGGTCGCAAAGAATAGGACAGGACTGAGCAGCTAACACTTTCCCACTTCTTTTCACTTTTACCCTAACATTGCTTTACTGAAAGTAAGCTTTTATGCTGTGATATTCTTTTATTTATTTTCTTATTCACATATTAAAATCCACAAGGGAGATATTATGCATGTTATAAAGAATTAGTGGGGGAGAGAATACCATTTTTTTTTGTTCTTGTGGTATCTATAATTTTATATCAATGATGTACTCAGGAACATAATATAAAGCAAGCCTTTTTTTCCTTTTCTAACAGAAGTAAAAAGTTGTTTAAAAAAATCTTTAAGTGAATTAAATGCTATCACAATAAAGGGCATGTGGCAAATGTATTTTTAAGCCAGAATTTCCATATATCAAATACTGTTTGAAAAAGCCTACTGAGGAGAGCTTAGAAAAAATGATGCTATAGACATTTTCGCCTGTGCTATATAATATCATGCATTCTACCTGTACCATACATGCAGAAAATTGTGTTTATATTTTAAAATTACATTTCTTTTATATAGGATCTTCAAATATTCTATGTCACTCTTAAGCATAACTAGAACATGATTTAATTAAGCCTTCCTCCAGATAAGTCACACACAAACTTTCTAAAACCAATAAGCACCTCCCATTGACTACTTATGCTGATTCAATACTAGACTTTCTCTTAGAAACCACATAGATAGCCATCCATCCAGATTCAGAATTTCTTCTCTGTATATTTGAAAAACATTTTTTTATGATTATAAATGCAAAGCAAACTCAAAGGAAATATTAGAAATACAGAAACCTATAAAGAACAGAATCACCTGAAATTCTGTTATCTGGAATTATCACCCCACTGTCCTCCATCAGTAACTTTGTGTCTCTTCTCCTCTTTAACTTGCACCTACATCATGACTTTTCCTGAATAATTCAGAAGCGAAATCCTTCTTCCTCTTTTGTAATGGATAATACCTGTTACAGGTAGTGAACTGCAGGTCCCTCATCCTGAAAACTGATGCTAATATATATTGATCTGGACAACACTCTAACAATGTAGGGAATGTATGCCTGTGTATTGACAGAAATCATGTTGGCTGCCATTTTACTCTCGTAGGTTTACCTTCTTCACATGCAGATGGGTTCATTTGAGGAAATGTTATCAGGAGCACCTCACTGAACTTGCCATATTTTTCAGTGTTTCGTTGTCTGGTTCTCACACGCACTTCATACTCTTTATCCAGTCTCAGCGAGTACATCGGAACTGATGTTACCAATAAAGGGTCCATCTTTCAAGACAGAATATAAAACTTACTGGTTAGAGAGTCAACAACCTAATGCAATAAGCTCCATGAAGTGCTTCAGCATTTTTATTCAAAATGAATTTCTGGAGAATTCCATGGACAGAGGAGTCTGGCAGGCTACGGTCCACAGAGTTGCCACACAACTGAGTGACTAACACTTTTAGCATTTACTTTTTCAGTGGGTACTCAAGAGATGACCCGTACATTGTGGATAATTCTATGCCCTCATTAAGTCTTAAAAAAACAATCCCCAAAATTCAAAAACACAATCGGTTTAGTAGGTAGATAGTTGTAAGCAACTACATGGTCATTAGAATTACTATTATATTCAAAATGTGTTTAATAAATTAAAAAATGGGCATATTGATACTAAATTCAATGTTGTCAAATGGTAAATTCCTGATATAAGCAACACACATTAGCCTTTTCCCCTTTGACTTACAATCCTTTTTTTTTTTTTTTCCCTTATGCCTCTTTTCACAACCAACTAGATCATAAGTTCTTTAAGTAAGGTCAGTTCTCATAGATGGGTCCCTGATGCTCATGGCAACTGTGAGACCCTTGCAAATTACCAAATTTATAAGTATCATGGATTAATAACTGAGAATTTCAAAAATATTAATTTCAAAATGATGATAAATTGATTTTATGTTCATATATTTTTATAAGAATTATTGCACTTTCTGAAATAATAAAATTATAGTGAGAAAAATGACATTGTTTCACATTTTTGCAAATCTCTTTACTATCTGGCTTAGTAGAAGATGCTTATATTTTTACATTTGCTTCTGAATTAAAACTGTTAGGATGTGTGGTTTTGGTTGAGGTACATGAATAAAACTTGATCTCACAGATATATAGTGAGGAAATGGAAGAGATCTTTTAATAGCTGTTTCAGCTAATTGTATATATTCTTCCTTAATACCACCACCAACAAAAAAAAAACTCGGTAAGTGGTATTTTCTTAAAGGTTAGTTGCAGTGTGAAATCTGAAACTGTATCAATAACTCTTTCACACTTCTTTATATTAAAATCCACCACTACAACTAGTACTTTGAATGCATCATTTCTCCATTCATGGCTTGGTTACAGCATGTATTGGTCACTTGGAAAATATCATTCACTGAGTTATGCAGATTTTCTAACTGTTCACACATTTCATTATACAATATTTAAAAAAAAAAACACACTTTTGCTAAGATCACCATTAATCGCATCAGATCTTCAAAGGTTGGGAACACTCTCAAGCTCACAGCTGCAGATGGCAAAGTTTTCCAAAATTTTAACTTAACTTTGAAAGCTCAAATTTTCTCGCTGGAAGCAAATACTGTCAATTGTTTTTCTTGAAGTGTTAAGCTCACTTTATTCTTTTCCAAGAACTATTTGCCAAATATTTGCCAACTCAAATATGAAAAGCCATCTATCAGTTTATCAGTTGTTCTTTCAAGTAAAAATGGTGTTCCAAGCAAAAAGCAGCTAGTTCAAGCAGGAACTCAGGTGTTTAAATGCCTTTGCTCAAAATAACCATCCACAGCTCAGGATGCAGCCAAGGTGCTTTATGTGTACACAGAAAATGAAAAAGCTACATAGTCAGAAATCATGATTTAATAAACTTAGAAATATATATACTGCTTTATCAAGGACATTCTTATGTGATCTGCCTCCCCCACCTCGCCTGCTCCCATTCCTTTTCTGTGAGTAGAGAGTGGTGCGGAGCAGAGTGACTATCAGCATAGTTTGGAGCTATTGCCCTGATTTGTGCGAAGGCAGCAGCTGTGTTCCCACCATTGCTTTTGTACCACCTGTGTAAATCAACATAGTCAAAAAAGAAAAGAACATTCTAGTATTATTATGGAAACAGTCTTGACCCTGTGGACTCCCTGAAAGAGTCCCAGGGACCCTCAAGGGTTCAAAATTTATACTTTGGGAAAATGCTGCCCTGGGGTGCCTAGCATGGTGCTTTGTGTATACTAGTTATTTCAATACTCGGTCGGTTGCTGAATAAATGTTTGACTGAAGTTTGAATTTAGAAAGACTTGTTTGACTCAGTATCCAGCCAAACTTTTCTGTACCAAGTTATGGAACAGATATCTAAGTCAGAATGATTCCACAAACAGAACCTTGAAGCCAATATTTAACTATTCACAGTGCCCTAAACTTAACTTGCTAGTAATGACAAAACTGGCTTCGTTTTCAGCAGTTTACTGAATGGACAGGGCCTGGTGTCTCAATTCTAGGAGTGAGGCCATGCCAGGATGCTGGGCACGACCTGGTGACTGGCCAGAAACCACTTGGCTTGGCCAGGCCTGTGGCTGTGGTTAGACTGATTTAGAATTGGTTACATTGAAAGCAGCATGATAATCCTGTTTTCCTTCTTGTTGTGTGCCATGTGGAATTTATTTAAGTGCCCAGTTCCCATGCCCTTGGCAAGGAAGTGAGGAGTTCAGAGGTCAACCCATACCAGGCTACTTGCCTAAGTAAAAACCTCTTAGCTTGATTCTCCCCTGGGGTATGTGACAAAACATTCTTCTGAAACTCTAGGGAATCAATTCCCTCCCTTTATTTCCCTCCTGGAGTCGCTGAAGAACTTATTTTAGTGGGAGTCTGCTGAAAAGTGGCAACTAAAATCCTGGGCGAATATTTAGCCACAGTTCACTACTGATCTTGATCATAACCTTTCCCATGTTTAGCCACATCCTCACAGACAGCTGAGTGACTAGAGTATGTGATATTGTTCTAAGGTTAGACCGGACACCAGGGATGACAGGAGAAATCATTTTCCTGTTCTTCTATAGGTTTCCATATAAAACTCCATGTAAGCATCTGCTGTCTTAAAGAATTCCAAGATAAAATTTTACTGATTATATCCATTTTTCTCAAATAAGAAATTAGAACTGGGATATGTGGTATTAAGTCAACAGAAAGTCTAATTAGAAGTGAGAGGGGTTTTTGAACACAGAAAAGTCAAAGGGTTTTTCAATGTGAGATGTAATAATATCTTACCATTTTCCACTGGGTCTCATTTAGTTCTTTGTAGTGCAGTTCATACTCCAGGATTATCCATCCCATCTTAACATCTGTATTGGGTGGCGGTTCCCATTTCACTAGTATGTCGGCATGAATCTCCGTCAAACTGATGTTCAGCAGAGTCCAGTTGAGGCCAACGGGTGGATCCGGTTGTACTGTGCATTTCAGCAGAGAATTAGTACACAGACATAGCTTGATGTTAGTGGAATGCTTTTTTCTGAAGAAGACTAAGTTACTTCATACATTATTCTCAATTCTTCCAATATTCCCATCATTATACTTCCACTTTATGGCAAAGTATCATTTTTTAAATTAAGGATGACCTGTTATTAACTGAAAAAAAAAGCCCCTATAAAAAATTCTATTTTGAGTTAAAATCTGATCTATAGCCGTTCTTGAAGATCTGTCACATTTTGCATTTCTTTTGGCTCTGAGAAGATGAATCCTTTGGGATTCTGGCAAAGGAATTCACTTTAACTCAGAACTGAAAGGAATAGAGAGTCAGAAAGACCCAAGTGTATTTACATATGTGGCCATTTTGGAGTGAAGGGTTGAGAGATCTTTTTTCTTCTGATCTGTGTGTTACCTGGGGCAAGGCCTTTTACATTTTCTTTCTCATTTCTTTTTGCACTGCTACAGAAGCACAGTCCTTCAGAACACTTGGTAAATACCCCTTCATTAGTCTTCCTAGCCCCATGTGATCATTTCTTCAGGTATAAAAGGAAGGAATTACACTGATCTTTCAAATGGTGGTGAATCAGCGTTTTCTGTGTTTTACTTAACTGCATGCTATTGACTACTGTGGAGTGGATACTACTTTTTAAAAAACAGAGAAAGTCCCAATTTGACTAATCATGACCACATTTTGGAAATTAAATTGGAGGGATTTGCAAAATGGCTTAGCTACACCTCATCTTTCCAAGTTTGTTGGGGATTGCTGAATTCTGAAAACCAAAGCTTAATGCTTTATATGACTGAACTATAAAAATGTTTTTAAGGGGAAATTTTCTCAAACTTATTACTCATGTTGCATCTTAACCCCCTCCCCTACTTTCAGTAGAGGATATAGAACAGGGTCCCTTTTGAGAATGCTCAGTACCACCATGATGAGCATAATAACAACCATCTCTCTTACTTCTAGTCTTCTGCCTGTAACCTGCTCCTCTTCCACCTTCCCTAATTCTGTTAATGATGACTCCATTCCTGCAGGATGAAAATGGTGAACCCTTCCTTGACTCACTTTTTCCCCCCCCGCCATGTCACATTCTGTCAGCTGTAATTTCAAGATATTTCCAGAATCTACCCACTTCTCATCACCTGCCCCGCTCTTACCTGGTCCTAGCCATTATCATTTTGTTTTGAAGCATTAGCCTCCTAACTAGTCTCTTCCTGTGGTCCTTGTTCCCCTTCAGTTTACTCTCGATGCAATCCTCAACACTGTGGACATGCTGGTCATCCTAACACTTAAGTTAGGTCACATTGCACATCATTTACAGCTTTCTGAAGGCTTCCTATCTCCAGACGAAAGTCAAAGTCACACCATGGCTTAAAAGATGCCACAGCTTTGACCCTCTGATCTCCAGGATCTGGTTTATGATCATGCTCCTCTTCTCTCTCCGTGTGTCCTTCCACTACCCCACACTCTTCCCTGAGTGAGCAAAGGTGTGCTCCCACCTCCAGATCTTTATCCTGCCTATGCCCTCTTCCATCAGATAGACATGGGACTGTTTTCTCATTTCCTTCTTTACTCAAGTGTCTCTGTCTCAATGAGGCCGTGTGTGATAATGCTCCCATTGCAGCCTCTCCTATTTTCCCACATTGTCTTTCCTCCCAGCATGGTCTCCTTCCACCCACACTGAGAAAATGTCCCCCTGGTGCAGACGCTTTCTGCCCCTAGCACCTAGAATGCTACCTGGCCCAAGGAAGAGACTCAAAGAAGCGTGGAATAAACTGAATGAATGACAGATGCCTAACTCACATACGACTTTAAATCCAAAGACCAGCCCTGAGAGGTCTAGTAGAATACATCATGGTACACGAGGAAGCTGAAGCTTGTGATCAGCATCTTAAGAGCTATAGGGTCACATCCGTTCTTTGCTGTCTCTCATTCTCAGCTCCCTCCCTCCCTGCTATCATGGTAACCCTGTGTGTCATCATCTTTTGCCTTCATTTTCACAAAGCCTTCCAATCTAGTCTGTGCTATTCTAATCTGCCCTCTACACTGCAGCAAGATGAATTTCCCTGAGACGTTAGTACCATACTCTCGGGCTTCCCAGGTGGCACTAGTGGTAAAGAACTTGCCCACCAAATGCAGGAGACATAAGATGTGGGTTTGATCCCTGGGTTGGAAAAATCCCCTGGAGGACAGCATGGTAACCCACCCCAGTATTCTTGCCTGGAGAATCCCTTGGATAGAGGAATCTGGCAGGCTACAGTCCACAGGGTTGCAAACAGTCGGACAAACTGAAGCAGCTTTGTGCGCGTGCACACACACACTATGGCTTTGAGGTTAAGAGCAAGGGCTCTGGAGCTATGCTGCCTAGGTGCAGATCTCAGCTCTGCCTACCAGTAGTTCTGACCTTGGGCTAGACATTGAACTGCTTTGGGGATCAGTTTCACCATCTGTAATATGGGAATTATAATAGAAGCCATCTAGCACAGTTATCATACCTGATTTATGGTACATGCTTTGTAAACATCCTGAGGTCATTCCCCTGCTTAAACATCCTCAAACGTACCCCTGGGCAGTCAGATAAAGTCCAGGTTCCTTTGTGGGGCACACAGAATCACTGATGATTCCTCTGGTCAACCCGTCAGGCCTGCCAAACTGCTCCTGAGTCTGAACATTCTGTGTTATCCCTTTTGGAACTCAGTAGCTGTTAGCAGACACTGTCCATCTTGTATACCTGGCAACTCCTGCTGAGGCTTTAAGAACTGAACTGTCACCATCTCCGTGCAGCCCTTTCTCATCCCTCAGTCAACCATTCACACCTCTGGCCACCGCCTTGGCTTGCTGTGCATTCCACACACCTTGAGGCCAGCACCTACTGTGCCATATCTCAATTATTTGTAAACATGCCTGCTTTCCCTACTTGACTGTGTCTTACTCATTTTGTAGCCAACACACCCAGCCAGGAGCCAGGCACTCAGGGAAAATCAGCCAAGTGAACGAGTGGGGTGGCTACTGGCAGGACAGGCTTAGAACATGGGTCTTGACACTGTATTCTTTCTACTACCGATTGAGTCATTAGACAGCTACATCTACTGACTTCAGGGCATATATTCAATTACTAACAGCTTCTCTAGATTCAATAGTTTCTTTAAACCATGCAGATGGGTTATCTTCTGCTTGTTACATTTTTTTCAATCTTCTCCCACCAAGTCAGTCTATCAGATTTACTCGTTTCTATCTGCATCTTCCATTCTCCCTCTCTCAGCCTCTTCCAGCCTGGAAACCACACACAAGAACAGCACATCTAAGTGAGGCTCCAAGGAGTTCCTGTAAGCAACAAACAAGCTTTGTGGATAGATGTGAGGCATCAGTGTCAGCTACTCATGGTCCTTCTGTGATTCTGTGTAGCTGTTTATACGATTATAGTATAAACACGAATATTCCAATTACGGCTCTTTGTCTTGTTTTATTTCCCCTGTGTCCACATGGTGGGCAAGGGATAAGCTGCTTGAATCTTTCACTTAGTTCACTGAACTGATTATCTCCAGTGTTTGTTTTGAGATCTTATAAACATGCCTTTAAACTGATTTTGGCTGTTTTGTCAGCGTAAAATTCCAGAATGATTAAGCCTTGTGGCAAAGAAAATCTTGGACTGTAGCCCACCAGGCTCATCTGTCTGTGGGATTCTCCAGGCAAGAATACCAGGTTGCCATTTCCTTCTCCAGGAGATCTTCCTGACCATGCGATTGACCCTGCATCTCTTGCATCTCCTGCACAGTCAGGCAAGTTCTTTACCACTAGTGCCACCTGGGAAACCCAAAGAGAATCTAGGCATTTATTTATAGGAATGCCAGAGATCAAGGCCAATGTATTCTAGTAGAGCTGAATATAATCGTCATACCAGATCATGAGGAGAGAAAGAATCTTAAGAGTGCATTGAGTTTCTTCCTTGTAGTGGCACACAAGAATACAAACTGGCATTCAGAGACTTTTTCAAGGAAAAGACTCCGTAAGACTCCTTTTCTTTTCTTTACAAACCTCCTGCCAGATTGTTTAATATTAGAGCCAACCTGAGCTTCTGTCTGCCCTTTCTTTCTTGTTTGCCAGCTTATCTCATGTGCTATAAAGACGACTTCCATCCACCCAGAGAATGCACTGCAATGACAAAGTCTTCCTACTTGCATGCACTTGGACTTTGCAGCCTTCCCCGCTTATGTAATCTAAAGCCATGTCAAATAAAACACAAACCTGTGATTTACCTATGTCCTCAACAGAGAAACACTTATGATCCACAATACCACCATTGCTAGTTAGCTTGATGCAGTAGGGGGTCCACACGGAGGTATAAGATGAATTAAAGTAACAGCTGTTTTCACCAGCAGAGACGTAATCAGGGCATTCTTTCCATTCTTGAATGTCCCTGAAATGGAAGGTAAAAAGGAAAAATTGTTCCCCAAATCATGCAATAGTGCAAGTCAAAGCAAGCTGCTTAAGAGTCAGATTCAATAAACCAGGACACAAGTATTTTAAGAGCAAGTATCTTAGTGGTACCATTTTCAAGGACTAGCACATCTGTGGGCTGATGATCAGTGTCTACAGACTGAGAGGAGGCCTTCTGGCACATCTGTCTACAGTAAAAGCATCCCTTCATTGACTGCATATAAGCTGCCAGCTCCTAATTTAAGTGATTCATTGGTAGGTATTTTCCCCACTCTACAGATGAAAGTTCTGAGGCTTATGGAGGTTTAAATATATTCTTTTATTAAAACACTGTCGAATCAACTCCCAAACTATAGAGATTCCCAGCGAACAGTTGGGTCTTTAAACCTCGGTATTTCCCTAACTCATGGTGGAAGAAACTGAGGTGACACATGGATGGTGTTCTCCAAGCTGAGTGACACTGAGATGTGGGTGGTCCTGAAGAGGAAAATCAGCTAAAACCCTACTCTGAACCACTGCATCCTATGTCCATCTCCTCCGCAAGGTTGTCCTGTGCTTGGCAGTGGAGGGCGGGAGTTTTCCTGATGCCTTGAACTCCTTCCCATATTCCTGGTATCTTTTCTTAATTAAACAAAGAGCCATTTCAAACATGCTGGACATCCAAGTAACCTTTAAGAAACACGGGACTCCTAGCCTTTTCCCCTCTACTCACAAAAGAAACCAAAGAAATTTAAAACCTAGAAATTAAAAAAAATTATCCAAACTAAGAAAGTTTCTTCTTCATTCTGTAAACAGGAATGGACATTTAATTATAATATCAAAAGAATGGAAAAAACAAAAAAGGGGCTATATTGAATCGATGAGTTTACCTATCAGTTCCTTTGTTAGCTTCTCTACAAAGAATGAGCTCATCCTTTCCTGTATCTTGGATCAGATAAGAACAAATGAAACAAGTCATGAAGGACAGATAGACAAATGGAGAACACTGAAGAAATCAGAAAAGCTATACCTCCATATCTAAGATCCACCCTAGAGTTATTCACCTCCACTCTGTTCTACAGAAAGCATTATTTACCTCAACGACTTAAAACAACAGCAGTGATTGATGTCAAATGGAAAAGAGATGGCAGGAAGGTCACTGGGGGAGGATGTCAGAGTTTGGGGAAAGGATTTACCCTGACTAGCCGCCAAGAGGACCTGAACAAAAATGCAGAGCAATCAAAAGATGGCTCAGACTCAAGTCCACCCCAGCAGGAACATGTGAGAGAATGTGACACAGCTCTCCTCCAACTTCCCATCTGCCTGCCCGCGTGAAAGAGTGAATTCAGCAAGCCATCTTTGGGTGCCTCCTATGCAAGCACTCTGTAGGTATCATATCTGACACTAGCGCTGTGTGGCCATAAGGATTAAAAGGACTTGATCCCTACTTTCAGGCCAGATGGTGACTCAGAAATTACCCACTGAGTACTTTCTTTTTTTTATCTCCTTTATTCAGTACATGGGTATTTCGTAAGCATCTATTATACATAAAATATATTGCTGGATATTACAGAGGAGTCATGTGTGTTTAAAGAAATACTTTAGACTCAGGGGAATGACTGAGAAATCGTATTACAAAGCAGGGTGGGCAAGTGTTCATTGGTGCTCACTGGAGTTAGAAAAGAGAATGATTGCCTTGACCATTCATGGACGGCTTCAAGGTGGACGTGGTATTTTAGCAATCTTGAAGATGGGTAAAAGTTTAAAAGATGGCAATAGGGGAAGAAAGAGAGGGAACAGAAGGCAGTGGAATCACTGGGGAAAACTTTCTTAAATTAAAATTGCTACTTAGGTGGTGTCATTCGTTATTTACTTGCTCTTCACTAGGCTGAGAGGGTGTTTTATAAGTCAAGAAGACATAAAGCAGGTAACGTGTGCTTGGGGCTGGTGGGCCAGGCTGTGAAGGTCTGTGAGCATCATTCTAGGGAGTGGGTGCTTGGCAGCAGGAGACAAGAAGGACACCACAGGCTGTGCAAGGGCAGGGACTGGAAGAAGGGATGAGAAGCTGGGAGAAGACACACGTTTTCTTGTTTACAGCTGTTTCCCAAGCTAGTCTGTTTGGCACTTGGAGGACACTTATGTAATATCAAGGGGTCCTTGAGACAGCTGCTCATCAGCTGTTGGAAAGAACTTGGGATTAACATGGACAGTGGACTGTTACTTAATTGCTGGTTGAGGCTCTTAAAAGTTGCATACCCTTGGATGAGAGGGAGATTCATCTCCAATGGGAAAACTAAGGGGGTAGAGGGTAGAAGGAAGGATAAACTGTGTGTGTGTTCAGAATAGGAAAAAGACTGAAAAATATGGATAGGTAGGTCATTGAACTATAGTTTATCTTGATAGACTTTCAAAATAAATACGAGTGTAGTAAAAGATAATGGTTTTATAAGATTGCCTAGGGAATGAGATTTTCATATAATAATTAAGGAGTCAAGTTTTGTATAATAGTCAAATGTAGTTAGCAAATTGACAGTATTAAAGTCAGTATGAAAACGTTTTCTGAAGATGCAGGCCAGTGCTTAGCAGGTCTGGATTGGTAATAGGAGATGAGCTCTGTGTATGGCACGCAGTTTCTCAACTCAGGCCTGTCAGCAACCTGGTCCCCACAGGCATGGTATGAAAAACCCTGTTTAGATTATCTCCAACCCATTAGCTCCACAGAACAAACAACTTAAAGTACTTCTCTAAAGTGCAATGGGTCAGGAAGAGCTACTTCAAAACACAACTCCCAACCCCCTCCCTCATTAACTGAAGTTGAATTTTATTTTAAATACATACTTAAAACTTATTTCTAAACTGCTACATTTAGACAAACTGTCCAAATGGACACACCACACAGATGCTCTGTTGCCTGCCTTCACTGGGTTGAATTTCTCTACAGATGACCAAAGTCCATTTCTAAAAGCTACTCTCTCCTTCTTTTAGTCCCAAGACTTAAGTGCTTTAGGTTTGTTCTCAGACTGGCTTGTGAAATAGGGCTGAGAACTCTAGAAAGAGCCTATCCATAAAAATCAGAATAAAGAGCAGAAGACGTGCTTTCCACCTAAAGGTACCCAACCGGAAGACAAAAAGACCCAAACAAACTATCATTTATGTCCTAAGGGCAGCTGTTTTCAAGCCATCCAGATCATGTGTTTTAGGCTTAATATTTAACATTTTCTTTCTTGTTCTTTCTTTTCAGAAAAAAGAAAGTAACACTGCTCATTTTCCTTTCTAATTTCCTCTATAACCTGGCAGAGCAAATAAACTTTCTTTTCAAAAACCAGGATAATTTGTTGAGGGGGGTTTGTAGGGGTGGGGGATATACAGCCTTTGGGAATGAGTCTTCACTCGCTCACTTCTTTGGAAACGAAGCATCTGCAGGAACAGGCTAGAGCAGAGCAGGCTGACAGGCTCCCAGAGCCCCCTTTTCACCGGGCCTGTGATTTGCATTCCTGCAGAGTCCCAGCCCAGCTTGGAGGCTGAATCTGGCATGGTCCCGTCACAGGGTGGCACGGACTGTTCTGGATTGGCTGCCTCTTCCACTGGCTCACCTGGCTGGAAGCAGAGCCAGCCAAGCGTGCAGCCTGGGCCTGTCCTGTGGACCAGCCTGACCTGGTTAGATTCCCCCGTGCTTCAGCTACCAAGGCCAGGCCTGCAGTGCAGCAGCCCCTCCCACTCCTCCCTGCCTCCACTACTCTGCCTCTGGATGACTTCGGGTCACAGTCTCATTTGTGTGCTAGGGATGGGGAGTCGTGATTCTATGGTTCCAGGAGGTGCCTGGGAACTGCTTTCCAAGAAACAGTGACTGGAGCCAGAAAGCGCATCTGTATCTGCCTCTTCCTGTGAGCAGGTGATGCAAAGTCCCACACACGTGTACTCTATTAGGTGCAGCCCTGCTACTGCATACTCCCTAATACTCCTTATCCCATCAATTCTACCCTTTCCAGATAAATGGCACTGGGATATTTGGGCTGAAATACTCGAGGTTCATAACACTGTACAGAAGGTGGTGATCAAAACCATCCCCAAGAAAAACAAATGCAAAAAGGCAAAACGGCTGTCTGAAGAGGCCCTGCAAATAGCTGAGAAAAAAAGACAAGTGATGGCAAAGGAGAAAAGGAAAGATATACCCATCTAAATGCAGAGTTCCAATGAATAGCAAGGAGAGACAAGAAAGCCCTCCTAACTGAACAGTTCAAAGAAGTAGAGGAAAACAACAGAATGGGAAAGACTAGCGATCTCTTCAAGAAAATCAGAGATACCAAGGGGACATTTCATGCAAAGATGGGCACAAAAAAGGACAGAAATGGTACGGACCTAACAGAAACAAGATATTAAGAAGAGGTGGCAAGAAGAACTATACAGAAAAGATCTTCATGACCCAGATAACCATGATGGTGTGATCACTCACCTAAAGCCAGACATCTTGGAGTGCGAAGTCAAGTGGGCCTTAGCAAGCATAACTATGAACAAAGCTAGAGATAGTGATGGAATTCCAGTTGAGCTATTTCAAATCCTAAAAGATGATGATGTGAAAGTGCTGCACTCAATATGCCAGCAAATACGGAAAACTCACCAGTGGCCACAGGGCTGGAAATGGTCAGTTTTCATTCCAATCCCAAAGAAAGGCAATGCCAAAAAATATTCAAACTACCGCACAATTGCACTCATTTCACATGCTAGCAAAGTAATGCTCAAAATTCTACAAACTAGGCCTCAACAGTGTATGAGCCAAGAACTTCCAGATGTTCAAGCTGGATTTAGAAAAGGCAGGGGAACCAGAGATCAAATTGCCAACATCGGTCGGATAATAGAAAAAGCAAGAGAGTTCAGAAAAAAAACTACTTCTGTTTTATTGACTACGCTAAAGCCTTTGACTGTGTGGATCAAACCAAACTGTGGAAAATTCTTAAAGAGATGGGAATACCAGACCACCTTACCTGCCTCCTTTGAAACCTGTATTCAGGTCAAGAAGTAACAGTTAGAACCGGACATGGAACAATGGACTGGTTCTAAATTGGGAAAGAGAAAGTCAAGGCTGTATATTGTCACCCAGCTTATTTAATTTATATGCAGAGTACAGCATGTGACATGCTGGGCTGGATGAAGCACAGGCTGGAATCAAAATTGCTGGGAGAAATATCAAAACCTCAGATATGCAGATGACACCACCCTTATGGCAGAAAGCAAAGAGGAAGTAAAGAGTCTCTTGATCAGAGTGAAAGACGAGAGTAGAAAAAGCTGGCTTAAAACTCAACATTCAAAAGACTAAGATCATGGCATCCAGCCCCATCATCACTTCATGGCAAATAGATGGGGAAACAATGGAAATAGTGACAGACTTTATTTTCTTGGGCTCCAAAAGCACTGCAGATGGTGACTGCAGCCATGAAATTAAAAGACGCTTGCTCCTTGGAAGAAAAGCTATGATCAACCTAGACAGCATATTAAAAAGCAGAGACATTACTTTGCCAACAAAGGTCTGTATAGTCAAAGCTATGGTTTTTCCATTAGTCATGTATGGATGTGAGAATCTGCTGAGCACCGAAGAATTGATGCTTTTGACTTGTGGTGTTGGAGAAGACTCTGAAGAGTCCCTTGGACTACAAGGAGATCAAACCAGCCTATCCTAAGGAAAATCAATCCTGAATATTCATTGGAAGTACTTATGTTGAAACTGAAGCTCCAATACTTTGGTCACGTGATGCAAAGAGCTGACGCATTGGAAAATACCCTGATGCTGGGGAAGATTGAAGGTAGGAGGAGAAGGGGACGACAGAGGATGAGATGGTTGGATGGCATCACTAACTAGATGGACAGGAGTTTGAGCTCCGGGAGCCTGGCGTGATGCAGTCCAACCTCTGCAGTATCAGCCTTGCAGGGGTAAAAGTTCATTTGGTGCCCAAGCATCTCATCCTTGTGTTGGGGTATGTTTGGGAGACCTCTCACACATCTGGAAGGTCTGTCCTGGTTGTTAATTCAAAGTATTTATTTGCAAATTAAGCACCTGTTTCTGCATTAAAAATGGTCTTATAGCATATCAATAATCATAGGCAGTAAAAAAGAAATTGCTTTTGTATTCCAGAAACTGGAATTCTATAGTATTTTAAATTATTCTCATACTACCAATAATAAGAATAGGAGCTATTATTCATTCAGTACTTACTACGCTTGTCATCAAGCACTGTGATAAGGCTTTTTCATGTGTTACTTAATAAAATCCTCCCAAGAAGCCATGGGGAAAGGTCGGTTATCTTCATTTTGCATATGAGGTGGCTGAATTGTGTACAGAATGACTAATCTGTACAGCATTACTCTCGAGCAAGGGCTGGAGCCAGGCTGAAATATAGGATAGCTGGCCCTAAGCTCTCTCCCTTCACTGCCTGCTGCCCCTTCCTTTAGTTTCCTGGCTCCTCTGGGGGACCGATAGCACCATCCTGGGACTGATGACCACCATCTAAGGGGGTGGGGGTCTCCACTAACCTTACCTCTTGGTTTAGGCCTTCCTGGAGGGTTGGGTGGACAAGAGAAGATGACAGAGAGTTTGAGCCTAAGCTTTCAAAGAGCATAAAGGTACACATGAGAATATACAGAAATGGAAATCATACCAAGTGAGGGGCAAGCAATAAGTGACTTGGATGGTGATTACACTGAAAGATCTTTGTCTTCACTCTTCTTTACAAGACCACCCGTAAAAATAAAAAAGAGAAGTATCACAGTCCCTTATTGAAGATAATGAATTTAACAGGGACAAAGTCGATTTTCTACATAGGAACCAAATCATCTTACACATATCTTAAAAAACAAAACAAAACCCCATGGCTTCGCACCACAGAGGAAGTCGGCTGGGCTGTGGCCTTCAAGGCTCGTCTTGGTCTGGTCCCACTTAACCCTCTGGCTTCTCCCCCTGTCACTCTCCTTGTCTTCCACTTTGTCCTAGCCAGCGTCCTGATTTCCTCCAACCTGCCATGTCAACCAAAGTGCCTTTGCACTTGCAATTTCCTCTGTCTGTACAGTCTTCCCCTCAGATAGTCACAAGGCCTTTTTCACCTATTTTATGTCTCTGCTCTCAGGTACCACTAGAGGGGCCTCTGAAGACCTCATTTAAGGTATCACCTGAGCTCTCAACAGGCACACACACTCATGCATGCTCACTTTCACATGTTTACTCTCCCATATGCTCCCATTTACAGATTAACTAATATATTTGAATGAATGAATGGGTGAATGCATTTAGATCACCAAAGCAGATCACTTCCATTCCCACCACTGCATGATACTCAAAGCATTTTCATTAAAAAATTCGTGGAGATAAATCAGAAAAACATGAAGCCCATACCTTCTGATATAGAACATCTGTACAGATCCTGGGCTCTGTAAACTGTGATTAGCCCCATCTGTCCAGTGACATGAGAAAGTCTCCAGTTCAGGTGAACGGCACTTGGTGAATTTAGGATTCCCAGAAGAATCTGCAGAATAAAAAGACAAGACAAGTCATGAAATCAGGAGGGTAATGGATGGTCCTAATGAGACATATATCTAAAGTGATCAAGAATAACCACTTCTAGAAATGCTGTTTCTCTGGGCCATAGCTTCAGAGCCGCTGTCAGTTATTTCTGTTAGCCCTTGATTCCAGAACAAACCATTTTGTCTTTATTTCCAACATTATTTTTGGGGTGGGGGGGTGCTGTTTAAGAAACCAGAGCTAGAGATGAGGACTTGGGCACAAGTAGTTTACTAGGAGGGCGACTCCAGGAAAGGGAGAGAGGGATGCCGGGAGCAGGGAACAGCTAATACAGCATGTGATATTCAGCTCATTCCCACAGTGGCTGACGGGGGCCCAACCTCACAGAGGTCCCCCTGAGAAGCTGTGCGGAGTGTGCCTTCCTGGTATCCTTGACAAGGATGGAAGACCAGGGCATTTATATGTCAGCTCCTACCTCCCAAGGGCTGCCCGGGAGGTATTAATGCCCACGAACTTCTAGGCTGCACATGCACATGGGTTGAGGGTCCTTGCTAGACTTCTTAAAAACCCAGACAGACACCTGAAATGTGCCCAGTGATATGCATGGTGGCAGCTGCCCACCATGGATGGCTGTCTTGGCAACAGGTGGGCCCAAGGGATGTGGTGTGGGGACCACAGCATTCACCACAGAGCCTTTTCCCTTTTTACCAATTTTTGATAAAAAGTTACTAATGTTTGCCTTCTTTTAAAAGATTCAGCCAGTAAACTTATTAAAAGATACCTACTTTAAACAATTTATGCATATATATATATATATATATATATATCAATTCTAACATGGGAAGTGGAAAAAGCCTCCTAGATGTGAGGATATTAGCAGACTCCTCTGCATCTATGAAATCTGCAGCAGGTCTGAGGCAAAACAAATTTTTGTGTATCAGTTTTAATTGTTCTTCTGATTTCCATGGCCATTTTGAAGATGGTGGTCAGTGTTAATTAACTGAAGCATAGGAGCTTGTATGATCAGTTGCAAATGAAAAAAGTGTGTGTTTTGTTAGGCAGGCACTTTATTATACAGTAGAGTTCCTGGAAAAGTTCCTTCTTCTATTAGCTGATGCACCTAAAGTGTTATTTTCAGATCCTTCCAGAAAATCAGTGCTAAATAAACCATATTTAAGCCACAACTAACATGCTTTAGGGCTTCCCAGGTGGCTCAGTGGTAAAGAATATGCCTGCCAATGTAGGACACGTGGGTTTGATCCCTGGGTAGGGAAGATCCTCTGGACAAGGGAATGGCTACCCACTCCAGGATTCTTGCCTGGAGAATCCCATGGACAGAGGAGCCTGGTGGACCACAGTCCACAGGATTGCAAAGAGTTTGACATGACTTAGCAACTCAACAACAACAATAAACATGTGTTAACACCTGCAGTGTTGAGGGAGGACTGTACATTCTGACTGCTCTTTTGCACAGAATGGGAGGAGAGGAAATGCCCCAGATTTCAAATTGAGAGATCTGTGATCTAGTCTCAGCTCTGACGGTATTTAGACTTGAACTTCCCAAGTCATTTGGGCCTCAACTTCCTCAATAGGCTGGAATAGATGAACTCTTTCTTAAGCTTTGTGACTTCACTTTGACAGTTAAGTGACGTGTGCTGTGCTATGCTTAGTTGCTCAGTTGTGTCTGATTCTTTGCGATCCCATGAACTATAGCCCGCGAGGCTCCTCTGTCCATGGGGATTCTCCAGGCAAGAATACTGGAGTGGGTTGCCATGCCCTCCTCCAGCGATCTCCCCAACCCAGGGAGCGAACCCAGGTCTCCCACATTGCAGGCAGATTCTTTACCGTCTGAGCCACCAGGGAAGCCCATGAATACTGGAGTGGGCAGCCGATCCCTTCTCCAGGAGGTCTTCCCGACCCAGGAATCGAACTGGGGTGTCCTGCATTGCAGGCTGATTCTTTACTAGCTAAGTCACCTGGGAAGCCCTTAAGTGACATAAACAACCATTAATAACAATGTACATAATCAAAATACAATTGTGGCATTTGAGCTGAAACCACCAGAGAACACCACATGCAAACACCATTCAGGTTCCAATAGCCTCTGTGCAATAAGCTTTCCACATACTGGTAAGAAGAATAAATCCAATCCGAAAACTTGAAACATGAAGGAAAAAAATTGCTAGCTTGGGGAAAAGAACTTAAAAGAATTAATTTGAAACACATTTTCCTTGCTTCAACTTACTATTTCTGATTATTCTGTTTCCTTTTAGCTCCAGATGTATAGAAAGCCCCATGTTATCTTCCATTTTAAGTAAGAAATAGGAAATTCATAGTTGTGGTGCTAATGTGATGAAATAACATGCTGCTGTAGACGCACAGAGGAATCCTGCTGTAGACGCAGTGCAGCAAAGCTAATTTTTTGGGTCTTTTTTTTATGTCTGTCTTTCATTGCCTGCCTTCCTTTCCCTGCCTTTCTCCTTTTTTCCCCCCTCCTTCTTTGCACCCTCTTCCTCGCCTTCCTTCCTTTCTTTTATGGCTGGGTATGTGCTGTTAGGTGCTGTGGCCCCATGGATCCCTGCCCCGTTATCCACAACCTTAAGTATGTTCCCCCCTTGAGCAACTTGCCTTTAGTCTGTGGAATATAACAGCATTGAGGGGATGTCGCATCTGTGATTAGGATACAAAAGACTGTGACTTCGCTCTTGCTGGCTGGCTGAGTCTCTTGCTGGTTTTGCTGAAGCAAGCTGCCATGGTGGTAAGAACCACACAGCAAAGAACTGAGGGTGGCCTCTGGTCCACAATCAGCAAGTAGTTGAGACCCTCAGTCTAACAACCCTCCAAGAGCTGAATCCTGGGAAACAATTGCTTAGTAAGCGTGGAAACCGATCCTTCCCCAGTCCACACCACAGATGAGACCACAGCCCTCGCTGGCACTTTGAGCACAGCCCTGTGAGAGAATCTGAAGCAGGCCCACCTGCTAAGTCCATGTGAAGGAAGGATAGGGAAAAATACTAACCATAGTAAATATTTGAATGTTGTTGATATATAAGGAATAAATCCAATATATCAGGGCTTCTCTGGTGGCTGATGGTAAAGAATCCACCTGCAATGTGGGAGACATGGGTTCAATCCCTAGGTTGGGAAGATCCCCTGAAGGAGAGCATGACACCCCTCTCCAGTATTCTTGCATGGAGAATCCCCATGGACAGAGGAGCCTCGCAGGCTACAGTCCATAGGGTTGCAAGGAGTCAGATATAACTGAGCGACTAACACATTAGAACTCAAAGAAGCATTTAAGAATGACATAAGTCACAAATAGAATATGTCACAGTGAGCATAGGAAACGGGGTAAATTCCCTTTTGGAGGCAAGAACTGCAGTATGGCTGGTTGCTTCTCTTTTTCTTAGATTCCTTCTGCTTCAGCTGTTACCACTGTGGTTGAAGACATTGAGCATTCCTAAGTCCATTTCCTTAGAGTCATACTGAGCTTTTCCAAATCTGAGTGGTACTGGCCTATCCTTAAAATGAGTACCTGTCTATTAGATCTAAAAATCCCAGTAGAAACTTGTTCTGTGTTTCACTATAAAGATGACCAATGGTTATGATACTCTCTGAGGTCCTCTCTGATGAGCCACATATAGTCATTTCTAAAGTAGAAATACTTCCTACCTGCTCGTGATTTTTTTTTTTTTAGTATAGTCCTACAGACAGTGTGGCAGCCCACTCCAGTACCCTTGCCTGGAAAATCCCATGGACGGAGGAGCCTGGTGGGCTGCAGTCCATGGGGTCGCGAAGAGTCAGACATGACTGAGTGACTTCACTTTCACTTTTCACTCTCATGCATTGGAGAAGGAAATGGCAACCCACTCCAGTGTTCTAGCGTGGAGAATCCCAGGGATGGGGTCGCACAGAGTCGGACACGACTGAAGTGACTTAGCAGTAGCAGCAGTAGCAAAGACAGTGTAGTACACTATCCATTTACAGCATCTCTTAATGTTGCAATGGACAAAAGAAACCACCTTTGACCCTAAATTAATTCTCACTAAGACAAATGACTATTCCAACTCAAGTGGTCCTGCCTCCTGAAGAAATGTCAGTATTAGCAATGCTCAGCATTCAAAATATTAACAATAAATTTGGGATTTATTTTCATTCTCTTTGGGGTTTCATTTTGAAAATAACTGTAATGACATACTTATTTTAGTTATTATTACTAGGTTACATACATCATGCTATATATTACATCATGTTGATGATATTATGCTTATATTATCTCCTTTAACATGAATAACAGCTCTAGAAGGCAGGTACTATTTTCACTTAGAAATGTGGGTAAAACGAGTTCAGAGAAGTGAGCTGCCCATAATTATATTACTGTTGTATGCAGATGGGATTAAAACACAAATCTATGTGATTTCATCTAAACTCTTAGCACTAGCAAAAAATAGTAGCTTTTTTGTTAGATAATTTTCTCTTGCTTCTCAAAAATCCCCAGAAAGGAAGGATGATAAGCAAACAGATGTGCTCTTAACTAAACTCTTGGTAATCTGTACCCCAGTGAGCCCTAAGAGCAGGATTTCCTAACTGTGACTGCACAGCAGAATCAACCGAGGAATTGTGAAAGATACTGACTGATGCCTTGGTCTACTCCCAGAGGCTTGACCCAATGTGTCAGGGGCGCAGCATGGGCAGTGAGATTTTTTAAAGTTCACCTGTTGCTTGAAATATGTAGCCCAGATTGAGAGAGCCACTGCTGTAGAGAAACACTGCTATATGTAAGCACTGAAAAGGTAGCTTCCCACATCCGTTAGGTTCTCTGATCAGTTCTAGCAGAACTATAGATCAAGAGTGATACTTGGTATTAGTCCTGTGAGCCAAGTTCTGGACGGGGCTAGAAGGATATGAATGTTAATCATGGCCTCAAAAGAATATAATAATGGTTCATGAACCCTTGGAAAACTAAGAGATATTTCAAATACATGTATAAAATGTTACATCTAA